AAGCTTAGAATTTTAATTCTGAGTTACTTCTTTATTTATATGCTCTATATTGTTACGAATTGGTGTTGGCTATTGGTGTTGGACCCTCGACCATGTTGGATAGCTCATCACTACTTTTAACCTAAGGTTAGGTTTGTTACTTACCAAAACATGGGATCGATTGTACTGATACTACACTTCTGTACATTACGTGTAGATGTTGGCTGCTGAGGTTGTTGTGTTCGATGGGAGCTGGATTCGAAGATGTACCTGCGTCCCTGTTGTAGCTGTCTCTTGTTCATGGTAGCCTTAGATTTATAAAACTCTGTTTATGTACTTTTCAAAAAAAAGATGTATTTTCTTCATATCAGCTTTGTAAACTCTATTCTTAGAAGTTCATGATTTGTACTACCAGTCCTTGAGAAAAGTATAAGATTCAGAAAATTCCTTTTGTTAATTGTCTTATTAATATTATTGGAATTGGATAATTATTAGTTGGCTTACCTAGCGGGTTGGGTTAGGTGCCATTACGACTAGTGGATTTTGGGTCGTGACAGAAAACCTTTAACGAAATGTCGTTTGCCTTTTTTACCCCTTAAAATAAATTTTATATTAGATAAAATTGTTATTTTAACGTAATATTTCGGAGTTTTAAATAAACTAATACATTAAATCCTTTCTTATTTGAAGTATGTAGATAAAGTCTTAATATTAAATATCTTGCATAAATCCTTCCTTAATTAATGATGTAACATAACAAATCTATTAACAAAAAAGCAATGTTTGGAAAAGTTTAAGTAAGAAAAACTTTTAACACTTCGGACTCTTTTTTTTAACCACTAAGGACTCCTTTTAGGGTTAGGATTCTTTGGTCTTCGTTAAAGAAATATAATAATTAATTTAACAATAACAACTAACTCAAAAGTAGGAAACTAATATTGCAGAGAATGCAATCTCAAAAGTTCGAAGTATAATAAAAAAAGACGATTGTTTCAATCATCTTATCCATGAAATTATATGAATAGATAAAGATGAGAATGAAGCTAGACAGAAAAATTTAAAGCAAACAGAGTTACAAATTTGATACTCCAAAAAAAGGTAAATGAAAAAACATAACCGCTAAATAAAAAATAAACATTGAAGTTTTTTCCAGGAAAGCTCTTAAATTTTTAAAGGCTATGTATTTTTGCTGAAACTAAACAGATAGCATAATCAATATTCTTCAATTTCAAGAGTTTAAATTTTTAGTTTATATTTCAAATATAATGTTTAACATAATATTCTATTCATCAAGATAGGATATACGCGCAACGCGCAATTGTAGATTTCAAATATTATACAAAAAATCAATAAAAAAATATTATTCGAGTAGGGAAGGAGTTCAAAAATTATTATATTTTTTACATTATTGTAAAAGTACTAAACCCCAATGTGAAAAAATAAAATTATTTTTTTTAATATTGAGAACGAGTAATTAAGTCTAATTACTCCCTCAGTTTCAGTTTATATAAAACTTTTTAGTCTTTCGAGATTCAAACTATATAAACTTTGAACAAAATTTTTAAATATTTTTTAATCATACAACAAGAACAACAACATAACCAGTATAATCCCACAAGTGGGGTCTAGGAAAGGTAGTATGTACGCAGACTTTACCCCTACCTAGTGAGGTAGAGAGGCTATTTCCAATAGTCCCTCGGCTCAAGAAAAGGTGAAAAGAGAGAGAGAGGAAGAAGACGAAGAAGAAAGATGAAGAAGAAAGAAAGAATAGGGGGGACAAAGGACGATAAGGAAAAGGGGAGAAAGACAACTATAGTAACAACAATAACAACAAAAACAAAACCAGTAATAGAAAATAGCATCAAAAAGTAACAAACTGGAACATACGATACACAGAGCGATCGAAAAAAAACAAGGGAGATACTAATACTACTAAAAAAGAACGAAGAACTCTCGACTACCAATTAGCCAACTACCCTAATCTTCGACCTCCACACCCTCCTGTCCAGGATCATGTCCTCAGTGAGCTGAAGTAACGTCATATCTTGCCTAATCACCTCTCTCCAATACTTCTTCGGCCTTCCTCTACCCTTTCTCAGTCCCGCCACGGCCAGCCTCTCGCACCTCCTAATAGGAGCATCCGTACTCCTCCTCTGCATGTTCCCGAACCATCTCAGCCCCAACTCCCGCATCTTGTCCTCCACAGGGGCCACTCCCACTTTGTCCTGAATAACTTCATTCCTAATCTTATCTCTCCTGGTATGCCCACACATCCATCTCAGCATCCTCATTTCTGCTACTTTCATCCTCTGAACATGGGAGTTCTTGACTGGCCAACACTCAGCCACATACAACATAGTAGGTCTAACTACCACTCTGTAGAACTTACCCTTAAGTCTTGGTGGCACCTTCTTATCACACAAAATACCGGATGTGAGCCTCCATTTCATCCACCTCGCACCGATACGGTGGGAGACCTCATCATCAATTTCCCCGTTACCTTAGATTATAGACATGAGATACTTGAAACTATCCCTCATCGGGATGACTTGGGTATCAAACTTCACATCCATGTCCGCTTCGTGACTTTCATCACTGAACTTACACTCCAAGTATTCTGTTTTGGTCCTGCTCAACTTGAAACCTTTAGACTCTAGGGTCTGCGTCCAGACCTCCAGCCTCTCATTGACCCCGCTCCTCATCTCATCAATCAACACTATGTCATCGGCAAATAACATGCACCATGTCACCTCCCCTTGAATGTGCGGCGTCAATACATCCATCACTAAAGCAAATAAGAACGGGCTAAAAGCTGATCCCTGGTGCAACCCCATCACTATTGGGAAGTGATCTAAGTCACCTCTCATTGTCCTCACCCGAGTCTTAGCACCATCATACATGTCCTTGATTACCCTAGTGTAAGCTACCGGAACGCCGCTAACCTCCAAACATCTACACAAAACCTCCCTCAGAACTTTATCGTACGCCTTTTCTAGGTCTATAAAGACCATGTGTAGGTCCTTCTTTCTCTCACTATACTGCTCTACCAATCTCCTCACCTAGATGAATGGTTTCCTAGTCGATCGCCCCCGCATTAATCCAAATTGATTCTCCAAAAGAGACACACTCTTTCTCACCCTGACTTCCACCACCCTCTCCTAAATTTTCATAGTATGACTCAGTAGCTTGATACCCCTATAGCTATTGCAGTTTTAGATATCACCCTTGTTCTTGTACAAGGAATCATCTTACTCCACCTCCATTCTTCGAGCATCTTATTCGTCTTAAAGATAACATTAAACAATCCAGTAAGCCACTCCACACCTGCACGACCCGCACTCTTCCAATTCTATCGGGATCTCGTTTGGCCCAATCGCTCTTCCCCTGCTCATCTTACGCATCGCTCCCATAACTTCTTCAACCTTAATATGCCTACAATAGACAAAATCACGCAGACTCTCAGAGTGCTCCAACTCACCTAGCACAATGTTTTTGTCCCCCTCCTCGTTCAACAGTTTGTAGAAGTATGTCTACCATCTTTGTCTAATATGGGCATCTTTCATTAATACTATGCCATCCTCGTCTTTGATGCACTTTACTTGGTTGAAGTCACGATCCTTCCTCTCCCTCACTTTGGCTAACCTGTACAACTTCTTGTCCCTACTTTTGCTCCCAAGCTCCGCATACATGCATCCAAAGGCAGCAGTCTTAGTCTATGTAACCGCTAACTTCGCCTCTTTCTTTGCCTTTTATAACGTTCCCAATTCGTCCTCTTTTCCTCCTCGTTTGTGCTCTCAACTAGTTTCAAATAAGCCGCTTTCTTGACTTCAACTTTACCTTGGACCTTCGTATTCCACCACCAATCCCTTACACGTCTCCCAATGTATCCCTTTGTAACCCCTAAAACCTCTATCGCAACTTCCCTAATGTAGTTCGCTGTCATGGCCCACATCGCAGTCGTGTCCCCGCTACTCTTCCAGGCCTCCATCCCCAGCAACCTCTCCCCTAACTCTTGGGCTTTGTCCTTAGTCAAATTTCCCCACTTGACTCTAAGTTGCACACTACTCTCTTCTTTCTATTCCTCTTGATCCCCATGTCCATAACTAGGAGCCTATGTTGGGTCGTAAGGCACTCACTCGGAATGACCTTGTAATCCATGCAAAGACCTCTATCACATTTCCTGCAGAGAAGATAGTCTATTTGGGTCCTGGCCACCGTACTCCGGAAAGTGACCAGTTGCTCCTCTCTCTTTGGGAAGATCGAGTTAATAACCACCAGATCAAAAGCTCTAGGGAAATATTTTTTATCATATTGACATAAAAAGATTGCAGCTTCATAGTATTTCTCGTATTGTTTATCTAAGTTTTAAATTTAAAATTCAAATTAACTTTAAAGGTTAGTCAAATTAACTCTTGACAAGAGAAAATAGAAAGGAGGGAGTAATTAGCAAAATACTCAATTTATTTCTTTTTTAAAATCATCATATAAATATTTTAAATTGATAGAACTCTTAATGCACATAATTTATTTTCACGAGAAGAGCATTGACGGTTAAAACAATAAAAAATAGAGCAACATATTATGCTATAGTTTAACTTATTATTTATTTTTCGTAGTAGGTAACAAAAATAATAAGGATATTCATAAGATATCTATATATGTCCTAAGAAATTACAGTAACGCATATGTAAGACTGAATTTCTTTATTTATTGAACTAGCTATATTAGATCAATATTTATATTTTTTAGGAGCTTAGATCTTTTTCGTTAACTTTTGTTCAATAACTCATGATATAAGTAACACGCGTAATGATATAATTTTAAAAAAAATTATATACGCATGATATAGGTACACACGCAAAGCACGTACTTTAACACTAATTTAATAAGAAATTCATGAACAATGTCCTCTATACATCACACAACACGACAAAAAAAGTTGATGAGAAAAAACAACGAACTTTAAATATATAAATATAAAACAAAACCAAAGTCTCCTTCAATTCCACGTAGGGGAAAAAAAAAGAACCTCTGTGTTTTCCTGTCTCTTTATTTCCAGCTAAAAAATCGTCGTCCAAGACGCCGGATAACTCGGCAGCAAAAATAAAATTATTACTAAAAAAAAGGGATAGCTTGATAGAAAGAAGCTGAATTTATGAGGTTTTGAAGAAGGCTGCGTCATTTAGAAGGTTCTGTATAAGCTCTAGAAGGTTCTTTTATCTGCTGCTGCTATAATATTGTTCCATTCTTTTATTTTCAGTTTTTTTTTTGATTGATTGATGTTAAAAGGTTGATTTGTTGGGTTTGTTGTGGATTCTTGGGTCTGAATTTGGTGCATGTTAGTATTTCAAAATCTTTGGATTTTCTCAGGTTATTGTATGTTTAATTTTGTATACCTAGATTTGTTACTCTAAAAGGTTCCAAATTGGAATGAAAGAAATACTGATTTTTTATATAGTCAACTCCAATTAGTTTAGATTAGTGGCGGTAAAAGCAGTTGTCCATTCATTATTATCCACTAAAAAATAGGTTGTATAATGAACATTTTAAATACGGGTCAAATGTAGATAAGAACGATATTATCTAATGAGTTTAACTTTTATATCGAAAAAACTCAAATTGGTGGTTTCTCAAGTTTGAGAGACTAGGAATTCTCCCAAAAGTGATCATACTCAAAAAGCCATGGATATTATGGATATCCATATTATTAGCTGGTTAATCCATTTTCCATATTAAATATGGGTTGGATAATTTATCCATTTTTGCATTACTCGTTTTCGACCCGTCCATATCTGACCCGCCCCGCCCGCTTGCCACCCCTAATTTGGATGGAGGCTTAGATGTTGATATTTATTTGTTGCTCTTGTTCTAGAGCCTGTTTAGATAAAGCTTCTAAAAACTACTTATTTTGATCGCTTTTATCAAAAGCATACTTTTTTAAGTTGTTCCTCAGATTTTACTAGAAGGGCTGCTGTTTAATAAGTGTTACCTTTTTGCTAAAAAAATTTCAAAGCTGAGACTTTTGAAGGACAAATATGTATGTAGAAGTTGAAGGATTTGTAATTTTCTTGCTGGAAGTAAACAAATCTTGATGAATACGATTATTGACATAACACTAATGTAACTTAACATGGTAATTTGCGGTCAAAGTTTACACACTCTACTTAGTTTGTCAAGTCTTAAGAGTAAAACTTTATTCGTATGCTGGAACTGAAATAAAGATAAGAGAAGTTCAGGCTTCAATTATTCTGCTTAGGTCATACTCTCATGTGTAAGGTGTAGATATTCGGGGCCTTTTGAGTTTCTGAACGAGGTCACAGATGATTAGCAGAATGCAGGACTTGCTTCAAAAAGACTCTGATCATAGTAGCGTCTCAACAGCCCCATCGATCAGTGTTCGACCTAGTTGGCGGACTAGCAAAGAATCACAAATGCAACAATGGTTGACTTTTCCTGGTCCTCAAAATCCCGAACAATTTGGTTTTCGTTTTCAAGATCAGGATTCCTCTTCTACTCAGTCAACGGGTCAATCATGCCCTGAAGTTGCTACGGAAGGAGAAAGCAAAATCTATGTGAAAAGCAACATGCCTTTTCAAGCAGGTAATGGTATCGACTTAATTATTTGACATGTTTTAAGATGCAAATATACAGTGTGTAAAAATATTAAAGCTATGGCCTAAACTAAGACAAATGGAGATGGCCTGTGATCTTCTGTGTTCTGCTGGTACTTACTGTACTGTGGTTGAATTTGTGGTGAATACATACTTACTAAGTTGTAATCAGATAAAGTTTGGTTCTTCTTACTTTAGACTTGCAACACGAGAAAGAATGTGGAACGAAGTGTCAAATTGATGGTTTGGTAGGTTGAGATTAAATTGGATTGGCCCTATCCTTTTATTTTAAAGCTGGAAATTGGTCCTTTATGCGTGTCTATGGAAATGACTTATGCCACCTCTCTGTCCTTTTGGTCTTGTACTAGCCATTATTTGGAATCTTAATAACTTGTATAAGATTACAATGTTTTACACCAAATAGTGGTATTTCCATCATCTCATTGATACAAAGGAACATGCACTACTATCTACAATGACAAAACGAACTACATTTTGGCAATGATTAATGCTTAATGTTATAATATTCTTTACCACCATTATAATCAGGAACACATGCCATGGTATTGGATGGGCTAATATCGATGTAATTCTTTGTTGGGACACAATGTTCATCTTGGAAAGATGATGTCCATGCTCAATATACAAATACCCAGTTTATAAGGGCGAGTGTCTACTTTCCATTTTTGAAGTCTTGCGGATGTTTTATGATGGAAAAAGGAAAAGGAAAAAAAAAGGAAAGACTTATTCTTAAAAAACAGATTCCCCCTAGCCAATAGAAAGTTGTTTAAGTTCTTTACTAAATTGGCGGGACTGATAGGAGATGATTTATCCATTTGACATGGATGTAGCTTTATTATTAGTATGTTATATGTTTTGGTTGTGGACTTCATTGGAACCCATGAAATGGGTGAGTTGTGTTTGGATTAATAGTTGTTGAAGAAGATTAGAATTCTGGAACTCATACTCTGGACTTTGTTTTGCTTGTGTTGGACTTTATCGGAAACAGCCTCTCTGCTAGTCCAGGGTAGGGATAAGGCTGCGTACATCTTACCCTCCCCATACCTCACTTGGGGGAATAAACCGTGCCGTTGTTGTTGGTCTTGCAAAATTTTTTTAACTTAGAGCTTCAGGTGACCATTGTACCACCTAGTCGTGAAGGATTAACTAGAAATTGAAGAACCTAAGAAACAAGAGAGTTGTGAAATGAAATAATTTTTGTCGTTAACCTTCTCCCTTCAACATCTTAGTTATGCATGCATGTAGTACATTCAATCTAGCCATGTAATCCCATGCTATCTTAGAACTGATCAGGTTATATTTCCTATTTACTCTGTCAGTCTGTCCTAATTGATATGGCTGTTATTCAATTTTGGGGTGGCCCAAAGTGTTTGAGACCATTTGTCTAATAACATTATCTACAACGACTTTTACAACTTTCAAGAATTTACATGCATGTACTAATCAAAAGAATCTCACAAGCATTAACTACGCAATTTAAAAAATTTGATGCGATGTTTTATCTATCAAACTAACTTTACTATATTTTAATATTTTCTTTCTTTGCCACTATGAAAAAAAGGACAGCCCGGTGCACTAAGCTCCCGCTATGTGCGGGGTATGGGGAAGGCTGGACCACAAGGGTCTATTGTATGCAGTCTTATACTGCATTTCTACAAGAGGTTGTTTCCACGGCTCGAACCCGTGACTTCCTCGTCACATGGCAACAACTTTACTAATTATGCCATGGCTCCCCTTCTTTGCCTCTATATAATACTTAATCTAAATTAACATCTTAAACCCTATCTGTCACGACCCTAAACCGGACCCGGTCGTGATAGCGCCTATCGTGAAACAAGGTCAGCCGACACAAACCTCCAAACCAACTAAACAGTTATAATAATTCATTTTTAAGTCATTAATAAGCTATAGATCCCAAAACATAAAGTAGAATAGAACAATGCGGACAAACACAGCCCGACATCGGGGTGTCACCAGTCATAAGCATCTAATATCCGTCTAAGAGAATGAAAAGACAACATAGTCTAATACAAGGCTAGTACAAAGCGAAATAAAGATAGGAAGAGAAGCACTGGGCTGCGAACGCCGAGCAACTACCTAGTCAACTCCGAATAGCCTGCTGGAGAGCAAATCAGCACTCGCTAGCGTGACCCGAGACTCCTGGATCTGCACACAAGGTGCAGGGAGTAATGTGAGTACGCCAACTCAGTAAGTAATAAAAGTAAAGGCAGTTGAGCGATAAGAAAACACGTAGAACCCAGCATAATGCTAAAACTGAATAGTATAAAACCAGTACAATGCAATAAAACATTACAAGCTTGTAAAAACACCTTAATTCAGTGAAAACCTCTTTAAAATATCTTTTAGTAGTTCAAACGAGTGATGAAAACAGGGAGAAAAGGATAGAAACCTGAATCAGCCCCTCGGGCAAAATACCAACAGAACTAGCCCCTCGGGCTATCTCACAATCACTCGTATAAGCCTCTCGGGCCATAACATGAAACAACAACAGCCCCTTAGGCAATATCATATCTCACACTAGGTAACCCCGCTCACTAGGGGTGTACAGACTCCTGGAGGGGCTCCTTACAGCCCAAACGCAATAACAAGTCATCTCGTGGCATAATCAAACAGGCTATCGGCCTCATATCAAGCCACCTCGTGGCGTAACAAATCAGGCCCTCGGCCTCATAATCATGAATCAGTACAATACCGCTGCGGCGCGAAGCTCGATCCCATAATAACCTCACAACATAGGCCCCCGGCCTCACTCAGTCAGAAATCTCTAAAAGCCACTCGGGCATAGTAAAACATGATACTCAACTCACAATATCATTTAAAAATGTCAAAACGCAGTAAACATGGCTGAGTTATGAAAACAGTAGAATACATCATGACTGAGTACAAATATAAAGTCAAAACAATGAGGAATAGTAGTAAAAATTCCCTAAGGTTCCAAAGCAGTTGGCACGAGGCCCAAATATGGCATTCAACCTAAAATATGATGATAGAAAACAGTTTTCAATCAAATACGCGGTTTAACAGTCATACGGGACAGACTATGTCACAATCCTTAACGGTGCACGACCCCGCGCTCGTCATCTAGCGTGTGCGTCACCTCAATGTAGCACAACGATATGGAATCCGGGGTTTCATACCCTCAGGACAGCATTTACAATCATTACTTACCTCTATCCGGTCCAAACTCTCCCCCGATGCCTTTGCCCCTCGAATCGGCCTCTGGATGCTCCAAATCTATTCAAAAATAGATTTACACCATCAAAATTAAGGGAACAAAACCCACTCAAAAATAACCAATTTACATCCAAAATCTCGAAATTGGCCAAACCCGACCCCCGGGCCCACATTTCGGATTACGACTAAAATCACAAAACTAGAATCCTTACACTCTTGCGAGTTCATAGACACCAAGAATACCAAAATCCGACCACAAATGACCCCTCAAATCCCTAGATTTAGGTCTCTAATTTCCAAGCCCAAACTTCCAATTTTAGGCTTTAGATTCCACAAATTCCATGATTAATTACGTAGAAACCACATTAGGATCGAGTATTAAGTCCATAAATCTTACCTCCAAGTGTTTTACCTTGGTTCCCTCTTCAATCCTCCTCAAAAACTCCAAAATCGTTCAACAATGGTGAAACTTAGACCCAAAATCGCGAAAATGATCTTTTAAACATTCTACCTAGCTATTCACGATCCTTCTTCGCGAACGCGGTCAACGCCTCGCGTTCGCGAAGCACAAGCTTACGTTGACCACTTATTCCTTCATCGCGAACGCGACACCCCTACCGCGAATGCGAAGCTTCAGCTTATCAAAGCATAGCGAACGCGACTACCAGCTCGCGAACGCGAAGAACAACTCTCCAGATCCCCAGCTGCTCACCTTTCCTCTACGCGAACGCGGCAACACCCTCGCAAACGCGGTGACCACTGACCTCAGCCCTTCGCGAATGCGGGACCACCTTCGCGAACGGGAAGGCCAATTCCACTGCCTCACATCCTAATCCTTCGCGAACGCGGGACATCCGTCGCGAACGCGAAGGTCAAAAGCCTGCAACACCAACAATAGTTTTCTGCAATTATTTCCAACATGAAATGATCCATTCAACCACCCGAAACTCACCCGAGGCCCTCAGGACCTCAACCAAACATGCCAACATATCCCATAACCTCATTCAAACTTGTTCCAGGAACACTCAAAACAACATCAAAACACCAAATTGACATCGGATTCAAGCCTAAGAACTCCAAAAACTTCTAAATTCCGCTTTCGATCAAAAAGTCTATCAAACCTCGTCCGAATGACCTGAAATTTAGCACACACGTCACAAATGACACAACAGATCTACTCCAACTTCCGGAATTCCATTCCGACCCCTATATCAAAATCTCACTTATCAACCGAAAAACGCCAAAATTCCAATTTTGCCAATTCAAGCCTAAGTTTACTCCGGACCTCCAAAACACATTCCGATCACGCTCATAAGTTCCAAATCACCTCCCGAAGCTATCCGAACCATCGAAATTCACATCTGAGCCCTTTTCACATAAGTCAACATCCTGTTGACTTTTCCAACTTAAGCTTACTCAAAAGAGACTAAGTGTCTCAAACCTTACCAAAACCTCTCCGAACCCGAGCCAACCAACCTGATAACACATAATACAGCTGAACAAGACAATAAGAAGCAGAAATGGGGGAAACGGAGCGGTAATTCATGAAACGACCGGCCGGGTCGTTACACTGTCAAACTCCATATAAAAATAGGATGAAGGGAATATTTGGTTTACAAGCTCTTCATGAGTATGGATATCTTTTAGCCTCAAATTTGTTTTTGCCTCTGCTTTCACTACTTCCCTTTGGACTTTTAGATACTTCATACTATGGTAAATCTGTTTTGATCATGTTCAGGCTATTCTAAAAGTATTGAAAAGCCTGATGAAGCTCAAAGTGAATCAACGCTGTCGAGTCACGAGCATGATTGCACTTACCAAGGAAACCACAAACAAATCGTGAGTTGTTCTTAATTCTTTTCATATGCTGTAATTTCTGATCAAGTGATGACATCTCACAATGTCATTTCTAGGCTTATGCACCTTTTGCGTACTCTGATCCTTACTGTCATGGTTTACTTGCTGCTTATGGACAATGCTCCACGGTAAGTACATTCATGTTCAACTATACTACTTCTACTGATGACGTGCAGTATTATTTATTTCTAGTTGTTAGTTAAAAGAAAAGGTGAACCTTTTTCTTTCTAGCAGTGTACATTCTTTTTCAAACTGCTTTTTCTTTTATTTTAAATTTTTAACTCTGGAAGATTGTTTGTTTGAACCATTGCCAGTTTAAGTACAGACGGCTCTATAAACAATTAATATTTCTTTAGTAGGCAATTGCTCGTTAAATCTTTTAAATAATATAATTGTAAGTTTTTTATTTGCAAATTAGGATTTCCATCTAAGAATAACTTCTCTGTTAATCTTTTTGATTTAATTTTCTGGTTTTTGTGCATATAGACATTTCATTATCTGGTTTTTGTGCATATAGACACTGACCATAGTCAATAACCATTGAAAGATTTAAACCTCCAATGGAAATTTTTTCTCTGTTCTCCTTGATTATTGATTACGGGAGAATAAATTGTGGATCATTCACTGTTCAAGCTGTAAGTCTGACTTTAACTTTCATGTGGCATTTGCTTTTCAAATTTCAAGAACCTTATAAACTTCTAAGTAGGGACCAGCACTCAAAGAATTGATGTATTTTACATATCAAATGTCATCTGTGATTAGTGGACTTAGTTTAATCTCAGGCCTCAGTATTAAGTGTACTTATATATATACCTAAGTGGATTTCTCTTGTATGGAACAGCCCATGATTTGCAAAATCTGATATCAAGTCATTTTTTAAGCCAGTGTTTATTCTTCATACTCGTTGTGAGATACTTATCTATCAGTTTGCTTCAGGTTTATCCACAAATGTTAGGCCCCATATCTGCTCGAGTGCCACTTCCTCTTGACTATCAGCAAGATGAGCCGATATTTGTCAATGCAAAACAGTACCAGGCTATTCTCAGGCGGAGAGAGTACCGTGCAAAGCTGGAGGCTCAGAATAAACTCTCAAAAGGGCGCAAGGTAAGGGTCCCTAATGTTTCAGCATGTGTGTTAGTTGCCCCGGTTCAACCAAGTTACTTATTCACAAAATACTTTCAGCCATATCTCCATGAGTCTCGCCATCGTCATGCACTGAATAGGGCTAGAGGACCTGGTGGACGCTTTCTCAACATGATGAAGCTCCTGGAGTCTGGATCCCCCAATGTGACCTACGTCCTGGATTCCCCAGTATCTAATAAATTGCAGCTGAACAGACAGATAATGGAACCCAAAGTTCATCACTCAAAAAACTTTCAGGAGAGCTACTCTACACCCACTTGCTCTGGTATCTCCAATGGCTCAAACTGTGATGATATCGGCCAGCAGCAACCTTTGAACTACTCTGCCTTCGCCTGATATATTGGTGGAGTAACAGAGCGTGCTGGAGGTGGTACTTGTGGTGATGTCCGACCTTACCTCTCTGTCCTCCGCTAGGGGACTGCGAAAGAAAAGTTCACATCACAAGTCTATCTTTGGCCTCTGTTGGTGACAAGATTGCTAGTGAAAGTGGGAAGTCATCCTTGGCTATGTTAGCATTTGTAGTAAACTATTGGCTACTATTTAGTCCATTAGCTTGCATGGATATTTCTATATATGCTGCTTTAATTCCTCATTTGTGGAAAGCTTATAAATTGGATGATTGCAAATTAACAGTGGCTGCCTTTACTTTTTTGTGGTTTGTACGACCAGTTCTCTAGGAGTTGATTGGTTCTGAAACTAGTACATAGGAAATTGATTTTCTTAAACCCCGATCGCAGTAGGGGCCGATGGGATCATGAAGTATTCCTCCACTCTTAACCAAAGTCTTGGGTTTGGGTCTTGAAATGATTTTTTTTTAGGATTTTTTACCTCCTATAGCAAAGGTTAACACCTTATTTATTTTAAATAAATACCATTTAAAAAAATTATATTCTATAGATACCTTTTAAAGTTTATAGCAAAATATTTAATTTTGGTTACTTTCTAGCCCTAAGCCACTAAATACGCTAATTAGTTACACTATTTTTCTTTCTCTCTCTACTTTGATACATCCCATTCTTTTTCCCATCCCATTAAAATTTCCGATCTCCTCCGAAATTGCTCCGGCTCCCGCATCCGACGACTGCCAAGTCCACCAGAACTCTCCCATTTTGCCTTGCATACCGCCGCATAGTAACCAAAATTTCTCAAATATGCCATTACATTCCTTTGGAGTATCGATTTATTCGATTTTGCACATGAAAACACTTCCAATGCCTTAACAATACAAGATGCCAATACATTCGGTACAAATCGAGATCGCTTTGGCCATTGTTTTTAGGATAACCAAAAACAAGATCGGAAAAACTAGGAGAAGCGACATCATCATGATCGGCGTGAGCGCTCTGTTCGCTTCCGCTGCTGAAGTAACCGAGTTCAAGTTTATCACAACTAGGAGAAGCGACATCATCATGATCGGCGTGAGCGCTGTGTTCGCTTCCGCTGCTGAAGTAACCGAGTTCAAGTTTATCACAACTAGGAGAAGCGACATCATCATGATCGGCGTGAGCGCTGTGTTCGCTTCCGCTGCTGAAGTAACCGAGTTCATGTTTTTTCTCATTTGTATTTCAATGTATCCCACTGTATTCTATGTATTTCATTGTATTCACTGTCTCGCTATATGCCATGAATGTATTCATAAGTTTTTTTAATTAATATAATTTATGTATTCAGATGTATTATATAATTTTTCTGAAGATTGCTATGTTTTTAGGGTATTTTTCGCTTGAGAATCTTTTTTATACAAGGAAATACAAAATTTGTGTGTTATAATTGAGTTTGTTGAGTTATATTAGGAGTCTATTATGTTAATTGATTCACTTTCCCTTTTAAAAACAGTGTAATCTCCCATTTCACGCTGTGAATACAGTAAACTGTCCAGCTTTAATCTCATGTTTCACTCCATGAATACAGTCGAATACAACAACTGATTAGCTGGACTTCCCTGATTCACGCCTATTTTTGCTACTGTATTCATGAATACAATAGTTTAAATACATCCAATGCATCTCATAACCACATAAAAGGTATCTATAATCCGTAATATAGCAAATAGCTATAGATGACTAATTACTACTAAAAGATAATGCTTTATGAAAATTTTCCTTTTAAGAATTTATAGGGAGCGGTTTAGCCCATTAGTGAGCCTATTCGACGCGAATTCGAATTAGTGGGGGGCAAGAGAGTTTCGGATACCGAATGGTTAAGAAAAAGAAAGAGTTTCTTATACTAATGTTTGATTGTGGTAAAGAAGGAAAAAGGAGTAAAACGAGAGGAAGTAAATTTTGAGAATTGTGTGATGTGATTCCTCTACACTATGTTTTTCAAAAGATCGACATATAAAAGTTGTTTACAAAGATGTAACTGAGTTTATAATCCCCGCCTCATGAGTGAGATGATGGATATACTTAAGTCACTTGACGTAGGATAGAGATTTATGCACATTCGATGTTTTCACCAAATAATACTAGTTTACTTTTAATTTTGAATAGCAGTCGATGTTTTAACCAAATAATATTAATCTGCTTTTAGGTTTGACTAGAAGCTGATTTACTTCCATTCGTCAGATTTACTCACATGTAAGAACAACCATTGGCATAATTCTTAGATTCTATATGTCAAACAACCAAAATCAGTAACCATTAGATTTAGGATCACTTCAAATTTAAGAAAATGAACGTGCTTCACAAAGAAGAATCAAATTAAGAATGTTAAATTACTCCTATTCCATATCAGTCTAATGGTTCTAGCTGACCAAAGTTGCTAACAAACATAATCAAATGCCAGTGACAACTCTTATTGTAGTCTTCTGCCTCTATTACAATGTCTTCCCTTTAGATGCACATTGTAAAGTTCCTTAGTCTCACAGCAAAAATGTCAAGTACTCTAAATTAAGCATAAAGAAAGATAGGCTTAATTTGGCAAACGTAAGTAATTATTATGGCTGTACCAAGATTCTTATTGCTTTGGGCTCGTTTGGTACAAGGGCTAAGGGATAATTAATCTCGCAATTATATTTGAAGTGAGTTTATCCCACGTTTGATTGGGACAAAATTGTGGTATAGCTAATCCCGAGATTAGTTATCCCAAGATAATTAATCATGAGATAATTTATTTCCCAACCAAACGATCCCTTAGGGTGTGTTTGGTATAATAGAAAATGTTTTCCGTGGAAAATAATTTCCAAGAAAATATTTTCTTGGAAAATAAGTAATAATCTTATTTATTTTTCGGTGTTTGATACGCAAATTAAGGAAAATAACTTCTCAAGAGTATTCATAAATAATTTATATACAATAAACATGAAGCCATAAACTTTTGAACCAATAACCTTTCAAACCCACAAATTTCACCAACTTCCGAACCGCTAAACTTTCGAAACTGTGAACTTTCGAACCCGTAAACTTTCAACACATAAACCTCCAAACTCATAACTTTGGAACTTGTAAAATTTCAAACCTGTAAACCGAAAGATGAAAAAACTAAAACTGAAAATATATAATAAAAAAA